ACAACTCCTTCTGTAGAGGTGCTCACGCAGACAGATGTGCAGTTAATAAAGTACATTTGATTAGCAGCACCTGGCAGCTACCTACTTGCTTAAGTTCTTATAGATGGAGTCAAAGTATACTTTCTCGTTTTTCACAGGACAACGTAGAGCTCTGTGGAGATGTTCGTTTTTACTTTTGCTGTGCTGTAGGACTTTGTGCATACCACTGACATGCCAACTACCCTGGCAAAACAGCAGCATTTAACACCCTGGGAAAGAGAACAGGTTCTCCAGACAGGCTACTGTTTTCGCCTTTCTGTAAGATTTATTCAGGCTAGTATTCATTTTCTAAAAAGAATGTTAATAAGAGTCATGAACAGACTGCTGTTGTCTAGCCTGAATAAAACAATGCACCAAGATTTATTACTGAGTGCTCTTGAGTGAAAGGCTGTGGCCTGAAGAGTTGCCAGTTTTTGGGACAAAGTTGCAACATTTGCCAAACATTTCTGCTACTTAGCAAATTAAAGAGTTGCATTATTTATTCCCTCTGATGTTCAGACGGCCACATTCACCCCGACTGATTTGGAGTATAGTTTTTGTTTATATATCTTTTTAATTTCTTGATGGTCTTTTTTCCATCAGATCTCATAAAACGCTCAGGGCTGTGCTTAACTCCGGGTAACCAGGCTGTTCCTTATTCATCTTCAGTCAACGCTAAATAGTGAAACAGATGAGCTCCTAGGCAACACTCCAGGCCAGCGTTAAGTAAACGTCTCATCAAGACCCAAACGAGAGTGTTATGTCACCTCAGGCTTCAGGCGCACCGAAACATACCTGTTAACACACCACGTGAAGAGATGCCAGATGCTAAATCAGAGTTATAAAACCAAGCTATTCAGCTGGTTAACAGTCCTTGGGTCCCATTAACGTTAGTTATGAGACCCTTCATTACAGCTCCTGATTGAAAGCAACATGGCGTGAAATCACTGAAACAACGAGCTCTCGGCAGTGACCTCTATTCTCAGGTCACCGGAGGGAGCGAATGTCTTTGTGCGTGACACATTGTCGTGTGTTCATGTAGTGTGTGTATTATTATTTTTTAAAATTTTCTGTCCTCTACACATATCATCAATCTTGCACTTTGACAGATTAAATGGAAATGTGCAGGGACAAGTGGGGGAAGGTAACAGTGAATAAGATGTATGTGTGCGTGCCTCTCCTGTGGCTTTGCGTTAGTACCTATATATATTTATATATCTGCATTTTTTTCTGTCACATAACCATGTGTACGCGTGTGTGTGTGTCTTTGTGTGTACGTGTCCCTGAGGAAAGGGATT